GTGTGCCAACTTTAAAGGCGCATAACTCAAAAACTACAGTAGCTAGAAAAAAGTGGTCAACTACAAAATCAAAGCTCTATTTTTGTTCAATATATTCTGAAAATTTCATACAGTCCCAAAATTTTTGAGACTCTTTTCTGGAAGACGTTTTAAAAATACCGATTTATCCTAAATTATCGATTTTATTGATCTATTGTTCCAGATCGCAATCCGAACCGACAAAAGACAAAAAGCAGGGACGAAAAGTGTCCGAGCTGGGACCATCCTATATGAGAAAACGCACACATCTACCATCGATTTTCATTCGACCGTACCGCCCGACTCTTGCAATTTTATTAGTTTCGTGATCTACAACTTTTTAGATCTACATTTTTTTCTTAAATTTTCAAATTTCCCCAATCTTTTTTCCGCCCATTTGATGTCACGACGATGATGATATGATTTGCCTCTATTAAATTTGACCAAAAAAAAAGATATTAAAAATCGATAAATCAATCAATAAATCTTAGTGATCCAGTTTGAAACCTCTTTTTCATGCCTTCTTTTTAAGCCGTTTTCAGCCATTCTTAGCGGGAAATCGAGAAGTTGACGCATTCCTAGTGAGCTGACGCGTTTTCGGTGACTTGATCCACTTCTACTGGTCTGGCGCATTTCTAGTGTCTTGACGCGTTTCTAGTGTCTTGACCCATTTCTAGTGAATTGGCGCATTTCTAGTGAGTTGACGCATTTCTAGTGACTTGATTCAAATTTTGTGGGTGACGCATTCCTAGGAACCTGACGCATTTTTAGTGATCTGACGCATTTCTAGTGACCTGACGCATTTCTAGTGACTTAACGTGATTCTAGCGACAAGATGTATTTCTAGCGACCTGACGCATTTCTAGTGGCTTGGCGCATTTCTGATGACTTGACAAATTTATAGTGTAGACGCATTTCTGGTGGCTTGACGCATTCCTAGTGACTTGACTCATTTCTAGTGATCTGACGCTTTTTCGGTGACTTGACGCATTTGCTGTGCAACGGAAAAAAATAATCTGACGATTTATGGTCTAGTTTTCAAACGAAAGTTTCCGAATTCACTGAGAATCAAATCTTCACAGATTTCAGTTTTTTGTCTTCAAGTAGAGCTACAGCCTCGTCAACGTATTCTTGCTCCACTGGCACTTCTGTAGTGTTGGAAGCCGTCTGAAAATTTAAAAAAGGAATTAGGTTGATAGGAGTTGACACATTTTGAGTGCCTTGACGCAATTCTTGTGAGCTGACGCGATTCTGGTGACTTGGCGCATTCTGGATGCCTTGGCGCGCTTTTGGTGCCTTGACGCGCTTTTAGTGTCTATGAAAAAATCTTGAACCTCATGACGCATTTTGGGTGACTTGGTGCCTTTTCAATGACTTAACGCATTTCCCGTGTATTGGCGCATTTTCGGTGACTTGGCGCCTTTTTAGTGTCTCTGACGCATTTATAGGGACTTGACACATTTCTAATGACCTGGCGCATTTCTAGTACCTTGACGCATTTTTGGTGTCTCACTTTTTTGCAATTCTTTACCTTGACCAACCATTTCTTGGCCTTGACCAAATTGCCCATAGCCAAATAGGTTTTTCCGATGAATAGCTGATTTTCAGCAACGCCTTCTTCCAGATGATCTGCTTTCAGAAGATCGTCAAGAGCCATTTGATAAGAGACGTCAGGAATTTGACCGATCACTTTTGCGGCACAACGTTCCACAAATGAGAGGGAGGCAACCTAAAAAAATTGTTTTCTGGAATTTCAGAATGTTTAGAAAAAAAAAATTTTTCTCGAATTTTTTTCCAATCGATTTTTTGTTCTAGAATAGATTTATAACTTGTTTTCTGTCTCCTTTTGCAGGTACAAAGTACTTCAGAATTTACAAATATTTTCAACAAAAAAAAAACTAAAAAGTGACACAAAAAAAATTTTTCTCAAGAATCCCACGTTTTTTGACCTAAAAGGAGAAGAAAAGTACAGATATTTTCTTGGGTGGAAAGTTCAATATTCAAGAAAAAATTGGGCAAAAAAAAGTGGGGACCAATAGAGCCAAAATTTTGGAAAACAATATTAGAAAATTTTATACTTTTTGAAAGAATGAGAATCTAATTTTGAAGTCTTGAAAAAAATTATTCGTAATTTTCCGATTTGTGAGAAAACTTTTTGACAATATAGAATGAAAATAGAGCTTCAATTTTGTAATTGACAGCTTTTTTCTAGCTACTGTAGTTTTTGAGATATGCGCCTTTAAATGCGACGCACCCATCAGAATGGCGCGCCAGGCTATGAGGTGCGTTAACTTTAAAGACTCATAGCTCCAAAACTACAGTAGCAAGACCTAATTTTTTAACAACAGTAAATGTAAAATTTAATTTCACATACTTTTTTAATTGACATCTTTTTTCTAGCTACCGTGGTTCTTGAGGTATGCGCCTTTAAATTTGGTCTGCCTACTGTACGCCTGGGGCGAGCCAAGCAGAAGAGCATGCCCAATTTAAAGACGCACACCTTCAAACTACAGTACCTAGACATATTTTATAATTATGAGTGAATTTAAAACTTAATTTTACACATTTTTTCAATTTGCTAAGTTTTTCTAGCTACCGTAGTTTTTGAAATATGCGCTTTTAAAGTTGACCCGCCCCTCGCCCGTTTGGCGCGCGGCAGGCAATAAGGCGCGTCAACTTTTAAGGCGCATATCTCAAAAACTACGGTAGCTAGAAAAAAGTTGCTAACTACAAAAATGCAGTTCTAGTTTTGTTTAGTATTCTCTTAAAATTTCAGAGAAAATCGAAAAAATTCAAAACCACTTTGGATGCTTTAAAAAACCCGGAAATCAATTTTTCTACAGTAACCTTACTTACCGTATAACAAAATCTGCCTCTCATATGACACAACTCGAAATCTTGATCATTAATTGCGATCGCTTCGTCCAAATAGGTCTTAAATTTAAAACCGTAATCCAATTTCTTCTTCAGAGAGCTCTCCTCAGCCAATCGGCCACAAGTGGAGCACAGAATTTTGGCACATTCAAAGTCATTCGGGTCCATCACATGTCCTTGGCGAGCTTTTTTGTATGCTGAAAAAAATTGCTGGAATTTCGCTGAAATTTGAAGCCTAAAAAACCCGAGAATGGGTGTTGATTTTTCAGAAATTTTGAGAGAAATACATTTTTTTTCTGGAAAAATAGGAAATTTTGCTCCAAAATAGTCTAAAAATGCTCTGAAAACAAAGCAAAAAAGTTTTGCCACCGAGTGGAATTGAACCCGGGTGTTCAGATTGGTAGCGGAAACTTGGAAAATCCCACTGAGCTATTCGTGCATTTTTTGGAAAATCGATCAAAAACACTGGGAAAATGAAAAATTCAGGGTTAGAAACTTATTTGTCTGTTTTTTGAAAGAAATTTTGTCCTAGAAATCATGTTTTCAACCAAAAAAATTTCAAAATAAGGTTTTTTTGAAAGTTTCGATTTTTGACATAAAAAATGTTCTAAAATAGTTTTAAAATGCTCTAAATAAGAAGCAAAAAAGTTAAGCCACCAGGTGGAATCGAACCCGGGTGGTCAGATTGGTAGTGGAAATGGTTGAAAATCCCACTGAGCGATTTGTGCATTTTTTGGAAAAGCGCTCAAAAACGTCAGAGAACTGATTTTAAGGGTAATTTTTGATGGTTTTTGCGGTTTTTATAAATTTTCAAATCAAAAAAACATCCAAAAACGTAGTTTTTGAAAAAGAATTCCAAAAAAATTTCCCGTTTTTCAAAATTTTCAGATGTCTCTAACCATTCTCCAACATCTCCACTCGCTTCTCTTTCATTGTGGCGTAGTTGCTCATCATATACAAATACTCAGCATGACGTCTCAAAACTCCACATCGATGTTGGGCTGGAATTTGGTCCAGCTTCATCGCCTCCACCGTCTCGAGCGCCGCCGAAATCGAGCGAGCCGAGAAATCGGCCGAGAGCTCGTCGATTTCAGCAAAAAAGTTCTGAAAATTAGGATGATAACATTGAGCAATTTTTGGGGGTCGAAATGAGCCGAAAATCAGGAAAAATGGTTGAATAGAACTATTTTTGAGAGGGCCCAAATTTAAAAAAAAAACGAAAAAAATTTTTTTTTTGGGTCAAAAACTTTTTCTTGAATGAATTTGTGCTAATGCGCTCTATCGCACTTTTCAAATCACCTGTTCAACGTCACTTTTGTTGCTCATCCTTAAATTTTCTTTCCAAGCGCAGATTGGCTTTTTCAAGGAATACCTGGGACCCTGGTGCCTGGGATATGTGGCAGCTAGAAAGGGGCGGAGCCTAGGTGGGTCAGTAGGCAAGAGGGTAGAATATGGTTGAATGAAAGTTCACGGGGTTTTGTTTTGAATTGCGAAATTTATGAATTTTGTGAATTAAAAAAATTAAAAACTTTGGAAATTATAAAATTTTAAGATTTCAAGAAAATTCTAAAATACAAAAATCCTGAAATTCAAAAATTAAAAATTTCATGAAACCTGAAAATTCAAAAACTCAAAAATAGGAAAAATTCTAAAGTTCAAAAAATTCAGAAATTTCAAACAATTCAGACTTTCAGGTATTAAAAATTTAGAAAATCTGAAAATCAATAAAATTCAAAAATTTGAAAAATTCTGAAAAATTCCAAAATTCTGAAAAATTCCAAAATTCAGAAAACGACAACTTAGAATTTGAAAATTAGGGTATTTCACATTTTCCTTCTGTAGATCCAGAAGATGTAGAGAGTCTGAAGATCCAAAAAAAGTTTTAGTTCAAAAAATTCAAAAACTCAGAAATTTAGGAATTTCAGAAATGTCGAAATTCAGAAATTCAGAAATTCCAAAAGTCGGAAAATCTGAAAAATCAAAAAATGCATTGAAAATCAAAATTTATTAAAAATCAAAAATTTAAAAATTAAAAAATTAAAAAAACCGATAAATCCCAAAACCTTAAAAATTCAGAAATGAGAATTTTAAAAAATTCACAAATTCAGAATTTCAGAATTTTCGAAGTTCCTAAAAATCCTAAATATCCTAAAATAATTTTAAAAAATCTAAAAAATCCTAAAAATTCAAAAATTCCAAAAATTCCAAAAAATTCCAAAACCCAAAACTTCAAAAGTTTAGAAAAACTCCATAGTTTCAAAATTCCATATTGGGTATTTCAAAAAATCCAAAAAATCTAAAATTCTGAAATCCAAAAATTCAAAAAATTCAAAAATTTTTGAATGAAATCTTTTATTACAAAAGAAAAAAAATGACCTAAAAATAAAAATTAAAAAATCACAATTGTCGCAGAAAAAAAAAGAATTAACTGAACATAAAATGAGTGAGAATTTGGGGAATAAACAAAGATTCAGAGGTGGTTCTGGTGGGAATTCAAAAAATTTTGAAAATCAAAAAAACACTTTTTTTCTGAAATTTCCAAAATTCAAAAAAAAACACAAAGCTCGAAATTAAACTTAACTTCACAGTTCGGGGGGTTTTTGGGGATCAACAACTTCGTCTATCTGTAAAAATTTTTTTCTGGAATTTTCTTTTTTCTGAATTTTTGTTTAAAAATACAAAAATCTTTTTTTTTTAAATTTTAGAATAGACGAGACACGTTGGGGGAATAAGAAAATAGTGTAAAAGGGGCGGAGCCAAAAAGTGGGCGGGGCTTCGAGGAGTGGAAATAGAGAAGAAAGAGGAAATATCACAAAAAGCTGTTGGTTGGGGGGGAGAGTTTTGAGGGTTTAGATGGGGGTTTTTAGTGTTTGAAAATGTTTTAGATCGATTGAAAAACAAATTTTACCCCAGAAAAAATCTGAAAATATCGATTTTCAGAAAAAAAATTTTTTCAAAATTTTTAAACTTTAAAAAAATTTTTTAGAACAATTTTTAAAACTTTAAAAAATTTTTAATTTGAAAAAAGAACTTTTCCTCGGGTAAAATTGAATTTCCAGACGATCTTAAACATTTTCAGCACCCATAAATCCCTCTAAAACCCATAAATCATGTGTGAGAGAAAGAAATAGTTAGTGGTATCAAAAAAAATTTAGTTTAAAATTCCAAAAACCGATCAATACGGATGAAATCGTGCCGACGACGTGGCTCCAGATGCTCCAGACGACGCTCCAGATGACGTCGCTTTTCCAGATGACGTGCCAGGCGGCGTTGGACCGCCCTTCATGAATGGAGCACCGATAAGCATACTAAAAATCACTTGTTACACTTTTTTTGAGGGGAAAATTTGTGTATTTATTGTGCTTTTTGTAGTTTTTGTAGTTTTAATGTAGTTTGTAGTGACACATGAGGATAGAGACAACCGCAAAAAGAAAAAAGAAAATCGGAGAGGACATGCAGACAGTTGTACTTTTTTATTTTAATTTTTGAACTTTTTTTTGAAACATTGCAAACGCGCTCCAATGGGAAAATATCAATTTTGAATAAATTATTTGAGTTTGCCTCGCCAAGAGCTTTTGAATGAGTATAAACATGATGGGGTTTGCGTGAATTTGAAAATTTGGAGAAAGTGCGCTCTAATGCAAATTTACTCAAAACTTGCTTTATTTTGAAGCGGTTAATTCGATTTTTACACAAAAATGTTTCAAATTGAATGTATTTTCAAATAAATGTTCATCAGGTGAAATTATATTTTTTGAGTTTTTCAAAATTTCAGAAAAAAATTTTCAAAAAAAATTTTTTTTTTCAAAAGTATGGCTTGTTTATACTCATTTTAAAGTTCTTATCAAGCTGAATTCAAAAACGCATCTTTCATTTTACTTCAAATACAGGATCTCGAGATATGTCCTCATTTTCAGTTTTAGAAAACTTCAAAAGTTCTAAAGCCTTCTATCTAGCTTCATTTTTACCGGATTCTGGTCATCTTTGGCTAAAAATCTTCCAAATTTCAAGCTTTCTTAATGGAGCGCATTTGCAATGTCAAATTCAAAATCCTTACCTCTGATTCAACGCATATTGATTAAGTAGTTGTTGCTGTTGCTGTTGCTGCTGTTGAACCGCCGCCATATCGTATCCCTGCCATTGAGCAGCTGCTGCCGCTGCGGCTCCAGCTTCCATAGCCTTGTTATCAGCTGTCTGCGCTCCAGCGTACATTAATCCATGTTGCCCAAGAAACACCTCTGAAAACAACTTGAAATTCTTTCTGAATTCTTTTTTTTCATCTTTGATTCTTTCTTTTTCCCCTCTGAGATAGATTAATACACAAAAGACGCACTTGGTTTAGGACAATGAAAGAAACTCAAAAAAATTGGGAACTAAACTCATATGGGAATGTGCCACACTCCATCAAGGGAAGAAAAAAAGATTGCAAAAACAATTTGCCGCCAGCAGGGGTCGAACCTGCGACCTTGGGCTTATTAGACCCACGCTCTAACCGACTGAGCTATGGCGGCACACACCGACCAGAGGAGGGGAAGGCGTAGATATGAAAGCGAGCGTTGGTGGTGGAGGGGGAGAGGGGGGAAGAGAGAGGCGACGCTGTGGAAGAGTAGTATGATAGAGATAAGAGAGATAGATAGACTATAGAGAATAGAGAGAGCGGAAGAGAAAAAGATAGTGATGAGACAAACCTTGTGCACTGGAAGCTTGCTGTTGAGCCTGTGTTGGTAGTTGGCCGGGAATCATGAATTGTTGATTGAGGAGAGCAGCACGAGCCAGCTGAAACACGACTACCCAGGGGCGTGCTTACATTTAGGGGGGTAATTAAGGGGGCAGTGGGTAATTAAGGTAATTGGTTTTTTGTAGTCAAGGGAAATTTGAATGTCACCACGAAATATATATATCAGCAGAAAATAAATAGGGTAACAGATAAGTGGCTTATAAGGGGGGATAACGGGGGTGAATATGTACACTTCATGCCATTGCATTTTTCGGGATCTAGGAAAAACTAAAACTGGATTTTAAACAATGCAAAATATTGAAAATTTTATGTTGATCATTTTTGCAGTTGACAAAATTTTGATAGCTTTTTTTGTTTTTGAGATATTACGCGTTTTCTAAAGGATACCCTAATTTTAGGGCGGCAGATAAGCTTCAAGTTTAAACCAATGTATCTCAGCTAGAAATTAAGCTATTTTAGTTTTCTAAATTGTAACTTATATAACTTTTTATGTTAAACATTTTTTTAATAAACAAAATTTTATTGGCTGCCTTAGTTTTAGAGATATGGCGCATTTTCGAAAGGATACTAACTTTCGGGCGCCGTCGAAGCTTTATGTAAAGTTAAAGCTATGTGTCTCCACTACATTTTGAGCTATTTTCAGTTTTAAAGTTGGAAAATATAGGAAATTTTATACTGAATTTTTTGACAATAAAAAAAAACTAGCTAGCTATTTTAGTTTTCAAGATAAACGCAATTTTACAACTATTCTCCTTTTAACAGTAAAATATTATATTCATTTATATCTAACGAGCCAATAGACCTTATTCAATGTTCTTACTACCAAACTGTTGTGAATTTTTAGTTTCATATTTTTCAAAATTTTCTATTATTTCCCAGATACAGTACTCCCCGAATCTCTCACCTCTTGCTGCATAGCCAACTGATGTTGTTGAAGGAGTGCATTAGTGACTAATTGTTGTTGTACTTGAACTCCCTAAAACACAAACTTTTGTTTTCTGTAGTACCCCTGGATTACTGTACCTGTCCACCTCCAATAAGAGCCGCTGCAGCAAACTGTTGTTGTGCCTGAGCTTGTTGCTGTTGCGCGGCGATTGTAGCAGCTGACGTGGCAATTGCTAATGGGTTGAATGTTGGTTTTGGTCGGTATGTGATTGTGGATCCTTTTGGTGGAGCCTGGAATTTGAATGTTGCTTTATTTTCAGTTGACAACTTTTTTCTAGCTAGCATCGTTTTTGAGGTATAAACCTTTAAAGAGTGCTATGCTCTCCTCATCTCCTGTAGCGCGTCCAACTTTAATGACGCATATATCAAAAACTACGGTAGCTAGAAGTAAGTGGTTAGCTAACAAGGGGAGGTTAGAAACAGAGCTTCATTTTATAGTTGACAACTTTTTCCTAGCTACCGTAGTTTTGGAGATATACGCCTTTCAAGATTCCGCGATTTCAGGAGCAAGCGAAGACGAGCAGAAGACGCCTTCCGGCGTTATATCTGAAAAGGCGCATAACTTCAAAACGAAGTTAGCTAGAAGAATGTTGTCAACTACATAAATAAAGCACAATAAAAGCTCTTCATTTTCCAATTAACCACATTTTTCTAACTATCGTAGTTTTTGAAATATACGGCTTCAAAGTTTGTAGCTTCTCTGTTGGTCCCTTTCTCTTGCTACTCCCATAATTCTTGCTAAACTCAAAACGTACACACCGCACACCCCATCATTATCATTTCCCTTATCTTCATTATCACTTGTGCACATTTAAGTATTCTCTGTCGTCTCTCGATTCCTTGTACTCTCTCACTCTCTAGGTACACACTATATTATTAATCGACCTTCTCTTCCCCGGGGAAAACGGGACTCTTTATCGATAAAGTCAACAAATTGTGTTGTTTCCATTCTCGATTTATACATTTTATTAAAAATGAAAAACTCACCTCAAGAAGAATCTGACAAACTTGTGTCATACATAAATTGATAGCGTCGGCGGTGCCGGAGAGTGTGACCGCGCGTTCTGTCGAGTGGGGTAACATTTCGGAGGCCACTTGGATCGAAGCGCCGGTTGCCTGGAAAATAAGAGTGTATTGTTATAATGCAAAATTTTATGAGAAATCGAATGGTATAAAAATCATGTTGCTTTCATTGAAGCAAGTTTTTCAATGAAGCGAGTTATAAGCATTAAGTAGTTTTTGTGCTCAAATGGAGACAACTTGATTAAGGCGATTTTCAGGACCATGAAAGTACAAGATATTTGAATATTTTATACAAAAATGTTTCTCATAATCTGATATTTTAGTAAATATTATTTTTTTTCATTAGTTTTAATTTAAAAGGTTCCAACGACGCTTTGAAAAAAAGTAGCCGCTACTTGGCACCAAACTGGCGCCACCAATCTCACTATGCCATTTTCGTTGACCCCGTGTTCAAGGAAGATAAACCATTTTTGCTCGGATTTTTATATGAAACTGTTCCTCATAATTTGATCTACAAGAATATATAATTTGATTTGCAAAATTTTAATTTTCAAGCTTTGATAAACGCTCTAGAACTGAGCGCTAATTTCGGCACCAACCTCACTAGGCAAGTTTGAAGACCCCGTTACCAACGGCGATAAAACATTTTTGTAAGGATTTTTATATCAAAATGATCCTTATAACCTGAGCAATTGAAATATTTACATTTCTCAACCACATTCCGAACTCTTACCTCCCTAATATCCTTAATCTTGCTGCCACCTTTCCCAATCAAACTTCCACACTGTGTAGCTGGCACAATAACCCTCATTGTAATCGGTGGTTTAGGTACGGAATTTGGAAGCAAAAGCATATCTTCCTCGAATTTATTGCAAACCATATTAAAAGCCTTTCCAATGACTCCCAAAGTTCCCGTAATCGTTACAATTCTCTCCGGACACGAGCCATCGGAAATATTGATTTTTGCACCGGATTCCTCGCGAATCTTTTTGATTTGATCTCCCTTTTTGCCAATAATACTTCCCACTTCTTTTCCTTGCATTAGAAGACGTATTGTTAGGACTAAACTTGTCGTAGATGGAGATGAATCTCGTGGAGATGACGAGGAGCTTGGATCCCCAAGATGGTCATTGGTGGAGGACGCCGAAGAGCTGGAAAATCGATGTTAGTTAAGACGCATAACTAAAAAACTTCGGTAGCTATAACAAACTGTCTAGTAACAATTTAAAGCATTATTTTAGAGCTTCTTTTTAAAGTTAACAATATTTTTCTAGCTACAGTAGTTTTTGAAATATGCGCCTTTAAAGTTGACGTTCCCTTACGCCCGCTAGAGAAGGCACTAGTTTGTTTAAAGGCGCATAACTCAAAAACTATGAAAAAGTTGTCAACTAAAAAACAAAGAACTCTTTTTGAGCTTCATTTTGCAGTTGACCAAATTTTTCTAACTTTCTAGTTTGTCGATTCCGCGCCTTTAAAGCTGGCGCTCAGCTCGAGACGGACTCAAGAACTACGGCAGTTAGAAAAAAGTAGTCAACTACAATAATATGTGAAATTTAATTTTACATAATTTCATGCTTTATAAAATTTGGCTAACTACAGTAGTTTTGAAGTTATGCGGCTTTAAAGGGGCGTACCTCTCTGCCTGGCGGATGTCGAGACGGAAGATGGTGCGCCAACTTCAAAGGCGCATATCTCATAAACTACAGTACCTTGAAAAAAATTATCAACTAGTAAAATGTGTCAAATTTCATCGTTCATATTGTTTCAATTATCTTCTTAATTCTAGCTCTTCCAGTATTTAAGATATTGTCCCCCAACCTACCCATTAGCCGTTTGCCTTGCCGTTGATGCCGTCTGCGTTGCATAGGTCCCAAGGTAGTCTGAAAATCCGTCTTGATTACCCTATAACTACCCTAGTTTACCTGTATTCGTTTTCTGTGGGTAGGTCAAATAGCTGGCTGCCGATGCTCCAGGATACATCGCTGGATCCATCTGAAAAATTTAAAAATTAATTTTTTTTTAAAGAAGAAAATCTATAGGATCTGGGAGTTCTGGCTCGGTTTTTTCTGGTTTTTTGAGTGTAAAAAAGCATTAAAAAGCACTAAAAAATGTTCTGATGACAGGAAAGAGAGAAGGAGAAAAATGAGTTGAGAGCGGAGAATAATTGTAATAAGTGTGGAAAGATGTGGGGGAAGAAGAGAGACTCTTATCATTTGGGGACGCCTTATCTTAAAATTCTCTGCGTCTCTTTATTTTCCATGATCTCTAGCTTTGGGGTTTTTATATTAGGAACAAACATTGTATGTTGGTCATACAGAAAATTTGAAATTATGCATTTGAAAATCCAAATTTTGAAAAATTTGGACCTAAATTTGAATTTTGGAATTCATTAGAATTTCGAAATTTTCGGACATAAATTTACCCGGAATTCTCTAAATCTATGATTAAAAATTGTTAGAATTCAGGAATTATTGAAGAAATTTTAAATTGGCCATATTGGCGAACCGGGCAAGTTTCGAAAAGTGGAAATTTCAAAATTTTGGGAATTTGGAATTTTTGGGTCACTGAAAGAGGACAATAGAATTTTTAAAGGCGCAGAAGAAGAAGAATAAAAAGAAAAAAGAAGAAAAAGGAGAAGAAGTGCACACAGGTGATGAATAATTTTGAAAATGAGCCCTCACCAGACGAGTTGCCCCTTCTTCGTATTCTTTTGAAAATTTTGGGAATTTTGGAAAATTTTAGAGACTTTGGAAATTTCAAAGGTTTTCGAAAATGAGCAGAATTTCTAAGAAATTGAAAAATTCCAAAAATTTCAAACAAAAACCTTGAAAATTCTAAAATTCCAGAAACTCCAAAAAACCCAAAAAATTATAAAATTTCAAAAGATTCAAAAACTAATAACTCGTTTAGTTTTTAAGCTAGCCTTATAATTTTTATATCAATCGAAAACTCATAAAATTTTAAATCAGAAAACATACAAATGTTCAAAAATTTTGTTACAGTAACCCAAATAAATCGGGCCAATAATGAAGCTATTTTCTTCGCTGGTTAGAAAAGTGCTCACAACTTTCTCAATTTTCGCACTAACGCTCTAATTTGAATACCAAGCAAAAGAGCAAAAAATTTCAAAAAAAAACAAATGTTAAAATTAAAACAGCTAGCCAAAAATAACTCCTAAAAATTGGCCTAAAAACCAAGTCTAACTGGAACCCCCCACCTTCAAGCACCTAGCTTCATAAAAAAGCTTATAACTCGCCGTATCAAAATAATTCATAAAAATGACCCATAAACCAAGAGGGTACTAAAACTATATGTGTATGACTCATCATAACCATATATTTCTCTATGATGACGATGGCTCTTCTTCTTCTCCTACTTCAAACAAACCCCGTCTTCTTCTTCCTAGAGACATACACACATGATATCAAAACGACTGAGCAAATACAGGTGGAAAAGGAAAGGAAAATAATAAGAAGGAGCCGCATCTTCCCCCCCTTCTGAAACCTGATACGTTCGGGACCTGTGAAGAAACTCAGGAAGTGTAACTAGAGAAAAATGAGGAAAAAGAAGAATTATTGATTTTTATTCTTGAAAATCTGCTTAAAATTCTACACTTTGAGCCATTTTTCTAGCTCTATTGGTTCTAGAGATAGGAGGCAAACAAAGGGGGGCAGCCAACTTTAAAGATATGGTATAGAAAAACTGGTTTATCCTCAAAAGCAAAATTTTGTAAACTAATAAAAAGTGGAAAATTTTAAGGCCTATAATCTGATAGATTTTTCATTTTTCTAGCTTTCATACTTTTTGAGATATGCGGCATTTTTTAAAAGAGGGCCAATAAAAGGAACGATACATATTACGCAATTGGGTGCAAGCTGTTCTTGCACATCTGTCACTTATATAGATAGTTAGAAAAGGAAAGAAAGTGAGAGAGAGAGAGAGAGAGAGAGAGAGAGAGAAAAGGAAAAAAAACACTGCCAACTATATAAGAGAATAGTGCAAATGAACAGGTGGTGAATGATGATGAACCGAAAAAAAATTTGAAAAAACGTTTTTTTTAATCTGAAAAACCAAAAACTCTAGAAAGAAAGAAAAAATATGAATCAAAGTGCAAAGTTAACAAAATTCGTGAATTCCCTTCACTGGTTGATGAGTCATAGAGTTTTTCTAACAGTGACTGCTTGCTACGGACCAGGCCTGTGCGGCAATTCGGCAACTCGGCAATTGCCGAAAACGAAATTCGGCAAATTTCGGCAATTTTCGGCAACAATAGTTTTCGTCTTTTTTTAGTAAAATCGATACGTAACTCACCTGAAAATGCTCCGATAAGGCTCAAAACTACAGAAAAGGTGTGTCATGCGTTTCCTAACAAAGCAACTACAAAAATTGGCAACTCAAGACCACATTTTTTAGCCTAACTACTTATCTTGAACAATAGATAGTATTCCAATGGTTGAAAATATTTTTTTTCTGATTGTGAGTTTAAAAAAAATTAGTGTACTCAACTTGTTAGGCAACTCACGACACACGTTCTAGTGATTTTAGACAGATTGGATAATTTTTAGATGAGTTCCTACTCATGATATCTACTTTTCTCCTATGATCACAAATTGGAAGCCCATTTTAGGACCGATGCAAGTATTTTTTGGTGATTATTGGGGCACATTTCCTCTTCAATTCACTTTGAGAGATAATGGTGTTCAAAATTAGGTTTTTCGAACTTCGAAATTATTTTTTTGATTGAAAAAATTGTGAAAATCTCTAAATTCAAAAAAATTTCAGTTGCCGAAATCGGCAACGGCAAATCGGCAACAAAAATTCGGCAATTTCGGCAATCGGCAATTCGTTGCCGCACAGACCTGCTACGGACGCTTACACTTTAAAGGCGCATAGCTGAAAAACCAAAAAAAGCTAAATAATAGAAATTTATATCAAAATGTAGAACGTAAAATTTCACACATTTTGGTAACTTGAAATTTTTTTTGATAGCTCTAATAAGTCGGGAGATAATGTGAAATTTTGAAATTTTTTGATAAAATGCCCTAAACCGTCAACTTTGAGCCAATTTTTCTCATTTCGTGTAAACGATATGAAAAATTTGTCAATTAATAAATTATTTTTGGTATTATAATAAACATTTTACTTGTTGACAACTTTTTGATACCTTTCACAGAAACCCAGATAAATAGAATCAAAGTAGACGCTGTGCGGGACCTACATGCACCTAGCGTTAGAAAAATGCTCATAACTCGCTTAGTTTTTAAGTTAAGTTGTCAATTTTTATACCAATGAAAAGAACAAAAAATTTTACATTAGAAAGTATAACACTTGAAAAATACATAGATAATATGTTCCTTAAAAATCGGTCAAAACCCAAAGGTAAAGGGTTCCATTAGGGTGTTTACCGTATGCTAACTTCAAACCGTTATATCTCAAGACGTCTAGAAAAGTTCAAATAGTTGTCAATTAGTAAAATGTGGAAAATTTAGAGATCTTTAATTTGATATACATATAATTGCCGTAATTTCAACAGTTTTGTCCAAAAAATTGAGTTTACCTAAGATCTAAAAAGCTCTATCTACTATATCTCAATCGATGGTGGGGGATATAAGATGAGAAAAGAAAAAGTACGGGGCGCAGGCACAAGATATAACAAAATATAGAATTACACATGATGATGATGATGGTCGGGGGGGCTGAAGACTAGGGACCCCCTTGGAAACCCAATACTTGTCCCAAGGCCCTCTTTTCGCAAGATTCCGAAGAGAAGGCACTTACTGCCTAATTGTTCTTCCACAGCAAAATTTTGTAGGGATGTGCTGCTTTTAGGGGGAAAGAAGGATTTTTAAGAAGGAAGAAACAAAAGGAGAGAGAGAAAGAGAGAGAGAGAGAGAGAGAGAGAGAGAGAGAGAGAAGTTTTCTAGCGGGAAGAAAGCTGATAATGAAATTAGTAGAAAATGGGGAGCCCCCAGTTTTCTAAACTCGATTAGTGAAAGGCTAGAAGAAATGGAATTGGAGGAAAAATAGGGAAAAGAAAAAATCTCGCATTTGTAAATTATCGATTCAGAGCTTTATCCAGAGAGTCGTCTTGCTTTAAAATCAAAATATCTGGAAAAAATTAACTGGAAAATGTAGATTTTCAAAAAAGCTATAAACCAAGACAGTCGCTACAAAGTGTTCTATTCAGCAGCCCATAACTTTTTTCAAAATGAACCCTCTATACTGGAAATTATACCAAAATGAAGGTCTTGAAAAGAGCTACAAAATAAATTAAAATTAATTTATGAAATCTGAAACTTCCAATGTACAAGACCGGGAGAAAACATGCCCCAGAAAACAGTTCCATGACCGTTTATACATTGCTGCTTTATTCAACACCCCATAAAAAATTCCTTCAAAGTTTATTCTTAATTATGAATATTATACCAAAAATTGATCTTGAAAAAAGCTTCAAAATGCTATAAAGTATAGCTCAATTTGAGTTTCCGAATTTTTATTCAAGCTGTTGAATGCCGGCGAGCGACTACCTGTTTTATTTCGACAGGAGGTTTTTACGTTTTTGCTCATAACTCCCTTTCAAATCGAAACATTGTTTCACTATTTAAACCGAAATCTAGATTTTGAAAAAGGCTTCAAAATCATATAAAATTCAGAAACGTTTTTTCAAGTCGCATCTTTTTTTTTCAGTCAAATGCCAAGAGAGGGGCAAAGTGAAATCGATAGAGCAACGTTTAGGCTCGTTCTATTAAAAAACCCCAAAGGTTTCTTCAAAATTAGAACCCGATTCTAACATTTATACCAAAATGAATATCTTAAAAATTCCTGTAAAATAGTATAAAAATCAATTGGGAAATTCTGGACTCCCGGTGTACAACGCCGCTACACTGTAACTACACACTTGCGCTATTGCGCCAGAAGCTTGTAACTTCTTTCAAAACTAACCATTCATTTTGAAAATTGTATCAAAATAAACATCTTAAAAAGACCTAGAA